TGGTGAAGGAAGTAGTAAAGGTGAGTTGTCCGGAGTGTGGGAACTGTTTATGACGATTAGATTAAGGTATCTGCAATCCTAAAATGCTGTAGAAAGGGAGGGAAACAGGTCCGTGACGTAGGAAGTGGTGAAGGAAGTAGTAAAGGCGAGCTGTCTGGAGTGTAAGAACTGTTTATGACGATTATATTAAGGTATCTACAATCTTAAAATTCTAGGGAAAGGGAGGGAAACAGGTCCGCGACGTAAGAAGAGGTGAAGGAAATAGTAAGGTGAGCAGTGTGGAGTGTGGGAACTGGAAACCGTTTGTAGCAGTTGGATTAATGTATCTGCAATGCTGAAATGCTATGATAAGGGATGAAAGCATGCCCACGACATAGAAAATAATGAAAAAAAGTTGTAAAGGCTAGCAGTGCGGAGTGTGGGCAATGTTTGTGGCAATTAGATTAACGTATCTAAAATTCTAAAATGGTATGGGAAGTGATGGAAACAGGTCCACGATGTAGGAAGTAGTAAAGTATGGCCATAGTGTGAGAACCGTCTGTGGCAGTTAGATTAATGTATCTTCAATCCTAAAATGCCATGAGAAGGGAAGGAAATAGGCCCCACGACGTAGGAAATGGTGAAGGAAGTAGTAAAGGCTGGCAGTGCTGAGTGTGGGAACTGTCTTTGGCAATTGCATTAATGTATCTGTAATCCTAAAAGGCTATGGGAAGAGAGGGAAACAGGTCCACGACGTAGGGGGTGGTGAAGGAAGTAGTAAAGGTGAGAAGTGTTGAGTGAGGGAATGGATTGATGTATCTGCAATGCTAAAATGCTATGTGAAGAGACTGTAGACTGTGGGTTAAAATGATTACGAAGCACGAATCGATACATATTTCGATACATGCAGTCGTTTATAATAGAAATTTACAACTGAGTTGACAACAGCTGATCTTTACTCCATAGAGGCTAAAAACTATTTTTACTCCCTTAAGAGTAAAAATGCTACATTAGACCCGCAACGCAGGTATTAAAAACGACCGATTTTACTGCAGTATGACAAAAACAATATAATATGAACCCTTGATGACTCCGCTCAATTTTGTGGATGCCTCTGCGAACGCCACCTAGTTACTTTTGTTTTAGTTATTGATGTTGAAACTTAGTAGGTTGGAATGATAAAATGCAAGAAACTACATTAATACATTTATTTAATTATAATCAAATTACAAAATACAAAATTCAGAATTGTGAATGTCACACGATAAATCTGTCACACGAAAGTAATCAGTTATTCAATGTGAAGGATGAGCTTGAATGGAACGACTTAAACTGCTGATGTCTGGCATAATTGGGCTTAACTTGAGTCTGAGATCACATTCCACTGTATGCATTCGGTTTCTGTATTTATTTTTGATATACAACAGATGCGAAAATCCCGCCTCACATAGATAGGAAGTTCGGAACGGGAGTAGAAACTCAACTGCTTTGTCAGCAATTTCACCGTACTCTGAGCGTCGTTGGATCCAAAAATCAATAAGCGTAGTTTTGTTAAATACTTCTTTTAGGTCCGAATCACAGTTTAACTCAAAAAGCTCCTCTTTGAGTTTCAGAGAAAAGCTGTCTTGAACAATTTTCTCAATATCAGCAAAAGGGTTTTTTATCCATGAGTACGAACTCAGGTCTTCTTGAAAGTATTTTGTAAAGCTAGCTCGGAGGGAGCTGCAATGATCTGATATATCATTCAAAATTGTTTGATTCAGGAGAAGTTCGTTTTCTTTAACAAAAGATTCTAGAGATGGGAACAATGACACTTTATTTTTCTTTGCTTCCCCTTCTGCAAAGCTTAGTTTTAGTTTTACACTATTGATTTTGTCCATAACTTGGAATGGGGTGTTATAGCTTCCTTGTAATTCCCTGTTAACATCATTTAACATACTGAATATGTCTGCCAAATACGCCAATCACAATTCATCTGAAAAACGGTCCCGATACTGAAAGTCTGTGTCAGATAGAAAAATTAATATTTCATGTCGAAGTTCAAAAACTCGAGAAATAACTCTTCCTCTTGACAACCACCTTACTTCTGTGTGCAGAAGTAATTGTTTGTGAATGCTATCCATTTCATCACACAAGTTATGGAAAAGGCGTGAGTTCAGTGCTCTGGCTTTGGTGAAATTTACAGTCTTTACTGCTTCATTTAATACAGTTTTCAGTTCCACTGGACAACTCTTTGTAACCAAGGCTTCTCGGTGAAGACTACAATGAATAAATTTGGCTTTTGGGCTTACTTGCTGCACTTGAGTAACAACTCCCTTATGAACTCCAGCCATTGCATTTGCCCCATCTGTGCAAATTCCTACACATTTTTCCCAGTTCAGCTCGTTTTCTCGGATAAATCTGTCTAATTTTCCAAATATCTCGTCTGCAGTTGTGTGTGAAGGCAAATTTTCGCAAAATAACATGTCTTCTCCGACAGTATTTCCATCTTCGTACCTAACATAACACATTAGCTGAGCCATGTTAGTTACGTCAGTTGTTTCATCAATTTGAATAGCAAAATAATTACTTTTTTAAATTTTAATGAGTAGTGTTTCCTTTACATTAGCAGCCATGTCACTTATTCTTCTTGAAACTGTATTGTTAGAAAGCGAAAGTGAATCAATCTGTTTCGCCTCTTTTTCTCCTAACATGGTTGACACAATGTCTTTAGTTGCTGGTAGTACGATATTTAGCCATTGGTGTTCGTGGTGTGTAGATAAAGAAATCCTGTCATAAACTCGACCTTAACCAACTGTAAACACCACATGTACGCTGACGACTTACAAATCTATGACCATTTTACTGCAAAAAACGAAAATGGCAGTGTCAGAAGGATCAATATAGATGTCATTCTAAATCTTGAAATTAAATTATCAAAGATTCATCAAAATTTTGTCAATGATTTTTTTTACTTTTGAAATCAGGCTCCCGAAATATTTTACATCAGATTTTAAATTTTTGTCATGATTTACATTCACACACGAACGGGAACGGTTCATCGTAAGGATGGAAAATAATATTATTAAGAGAATGTAAAGATTTGTTGAAACTCACCTTTGGTTATGTTTCGTTGGCTCACAAGCACTTTTGTTGCAGTTAGTCTTCTTAAATTAATTTTCTAAAATCGTACAGGCACTATAGAATTAACTATAGACAAAAACAATTGAATATTGAAATACGTATTTCACTTGATTGGAAATACTTTATGACTAAAACTCTGATATTGCAACAATGCGAGTAACAAACGACGCAAAATGACAAACTGAACTGAGTAGAGTCTTAACTGACAAACACAAAGAAAGAGGTTAGGATTTGAAGGCGTGCATCTTGGCGTCTGGTGTCGCTTGGTCGAACTGCATCATGGGCACTCGCACTGGTTGTTTTGATTACCCTGATTCAGGGCGGGATCTGGGAACTCCAAAAGGGCAGTATTTTGTTTCCCTTGAATCGGCCAATCCTAAACAACGAATAAACGAATTTGCCATCTTGTAGATTTGAGAGCCTCACGGCGGCCATCTTGGAAAAACCCGAGTTCCGGTTGTCCGATTTTGGTAGACTTTTTTCCTAGTACTTTCTACATCTATTACAACCAAAAACCGTTGAAAAACCATTTGTTGGAATTTTTTCTGTCTCAAGTGCCTATATCTACCCGACTGCAAGGGATTTAATGTGTAGGGGTAGGCTGTTCTAAAGACGGCAAGCGGTAAATACAAAAGCCCTGTCATAACGGTGGTCACATGATGAGGTATAGGCAATGTGATCGAAGAAGAACGAGAAATTCGTGAACTACCTTGAGATACAGTAATTTAATGTATGTTGATGGAATTGTAACCATGTTATAGTGGCCAATGTTTGAAAATTATGTTGTTTTAAAGAAATTTTGATCAGGAAAATATTTACCTTTTCAAATCATTATTCGAAAATGAATCATGGCTGGAAGTTTATCAGGCACCAGTAGACAAAAAAATTGATATTTTTTTGGACAGCTTTATGTACTACTTTAACATAGCATTTCCAGATAAAGAAAAAGGTTTATCAGAATAATAATTTGGTTATCGGCCCAACTAAAAGAAAAAAAGAGTTAAATTTAAAAAAAAATCAAAAGACATTAGGAAACAAAAGAACCAACAAAAAATAGAACGTATAAAGTTACTCATAAAATGGTCAAAAAGAAAAAGATTAAATTTGTGTCTTACAGAGATTTGAAAAATATCAACATAAAACATTTCGTTGAACTCGCATCGGTAGTTGACTGGGACTACATTTCATTCATCTTTTACTTAGCATAGGCTTACACTACATCAACTAATGATAATATTTTACATCATTCTTTTATGAGAGCTTATTGAATATGACAAATACCAGTACAGTCTACTGCAGTTTAAGTTACCTAATAGAAAATTACCTTTTTTATGTTTTACTAATAGATTATTATAAGTAAAATTTCATAATGGGGTTTTATTTTTGCGTAAATTTGCTGTTTTCCCGTAAAAGGGTTTAAAAGTGGTCGATTCCAATTCTCAAAGACTTGTCATTTAAATGGAATACTGTTGTAATTTATGTTAAAGGTTGTATTATTGCATACCAGTATTCCAGGATTTTCATTTTTCAGCTGCAATAAGAATATCTGCTTCCAGGTTATACGTGAAGATGACCAGTTGAGTATCCTTTATAATTTTAACAAATTGAAAACCAAGTATGAGTAGGATTGTTCATTCAATCCTTAATCGATGCCCATAAAGTAAGGATAGTCCACCAGTCAGATTAGATCAGACTTCGACAAGGTGGACACTGGCATTCCACAGAACCTTGAGCAGTAGCAGGTCTTTTTTAGGCCTATAGAGTCGATGCTTTCCACTCCATTGATGTTATCAGCCGCACCGATGGATCTCAGAGACGCACTCGACTTCTTCTAGTCCAATAACCCCACCTACACCAGAGTTGGCGACTTGTTGATGGAAGTACCTTATTTAATCACCATGTTTGAGGGAGTAAAATCTCCATACGGCGAGACAGTCGTTGTGACCCTGGAGTCTCTAGCCGGAGATGATTTGTCTGCGGGTCTATCTACCAAGACGATTCAACGCTGCGCTGAGCAATACAGATATCGATCCCTACAACAACGGGTTTGGTGACCGTCTTCGCTTGGTGAAGCACGCAGCCCGGGGAGGTAGCAGATACACACCATTGGAGTTTTTGAATATTCTAATGTAAAGCAAGAATGTATTAGACGTATGCTTAAATAACCTTTATACATTTTGATAGTTTTTGTAAGCATAACATAGTAACATTATAACATATGCAATCAGTTGTATTGATTTACATGTGCCTTAACCAAAATTATACTTTAGATTTAAGGAAAGTGTTTGGTCTCAGCACTAATGATGAGTTTGAAGTGGTCACATCCTTTCTCTGCAACTGTTGCAGGACCGTTGGGTAGTGGAAAGTCAGTCTTTGTTTCAATCATGTAAAAGAAATGTGCGATACAAAATTTGTTAAGATATACTGGTATTATACCACCGGAGGCGGTGCAGGTAATACAAATGCTACCAAAATAAACTACATAGAAGGGGCTTCCTAATTTAGAAGACTTTGAAGGCAAAGATCCAACACTTGTGGTTATAACTGATATGATGTTTGAGGAAAAAATGCAGTAGTTGATATATTTACCAAAGGATGTCATCATAGGAATATAAGCGTATTTTTTATAGCTCGAGATATTTTTCACCAGGAGTAGTGGCAGAGAGATATCATTAAATGATCTTTATCTGGTTTGTTTTATAAGTCCTAGGGATTAAATGCACATTATAGGCAGATCCATCCTGAAAATCCAAAGTTTATAGAGGAAGCATATACCAATGCTACAAGTAAGCCTATGATGAAAAGATTTTGTGTACATACAAAAAATGAGAGGAAACAACACCTCCATTCACTTTAATTGTCATCATGGTGTGCTTGAATTAGAAATATAAAATATAAATTAATTAATTAAGTCTTGAGAATGTTATTATTAAACAAAATCTTTATCGAGATTTTGTTATTATATGAGCCTGTGAGAGGAAAAATGGTGTAAGTCACAAACTTGAATTTTTCAGATAATAAGTGAAAATGATAGTTTTCATCCATATATATCCAAGGAATAGTGGTGTAAGTCATTCAGCTTAATATAATAATCTAGAAGGCAGCACAAAAATAGCTATTTACCTTACAAGTGTAGTAAGAGCGTTTTTACATCACGCAGGTGAATGTTGTGCAACGAGCGGAAGCGAGTTGCATAATTTACCGAAGTGATGTAAACACGCTCTTGCGTAACGTGTAACGTACAAGATTTTACCTGACCCGACAATATACCTGGTTACACCTTGGTTTTACCTGGTTACGAACAATATTTTTCATTATCCATTTCACTCACCTTCTAACAGTAACGTTCATTTACAAACAAAAGCTAGGTTAAGAACATTCTTCAAAACATGACAGTAAAATTCAAGCGCACAGGTGATTTCTAGCGTTGAACGTCGTTGGCTCCATAGAGGTATATTTTTTAAGTTAAGCACTCAATGTTATTTAAATGGGTTTCATTACATCACCGAGTGAGTTTTTTCCAACTTTACATCACTCGAGAAGTAACGAAGTTACATACATCACGCTTGGGATATGGAAGATTAACATGGCGGGTTAGGTAAAAGTATCAAAATATAATCAGCTGTTAAACTGCTAGGAACAGTGGTGTAAGTAACATGATAGTGACTTACTTCACTTTTCCATAAACAGTCTTACCATTTTAGGTTGTCGACTTTCTGTGACAGTGCTATATTTTGTATTCTGACTAATTTTATTGTCTCATATTTAAAACAAAAGTTATGGAAAGTGATTCTGATGTGTCAGAACCCTCTATTTTGCAGAATTCAGGCTCAGAGTATGTACCTTCTAATAATGAATCAGGTAAGTGTTATTGCTATTTTGTACTTAACCTCAAAAAAATATTTGTGCTTATTAATTTTAATTTACTTTATATCTTTTGGACAAAAATAGGATTTAAAGTATTTTTGTGTGTTTTTTATATGTATATCACTTTTACTACCTTGACAATCAGGCATAATGAGATCAAATCCTCTTAAAGTAGGTTATCAGGACTATACCTAGGCCTAGTGGCTCTGTCCTAAAAGAGTCCTAAGAGTTAGCTGTGAACTAAGAATTCAATAACCTTTCATAAAATGGTTTCTGTAGTTTATACTTAAAAACCTAAAATATAATTGAAAATTTCCTTCCCTAAGTATTTATTTACCTGTAAGTAGGCCTACCTAGGCTAATTCTATTTGTTTCTTTTAAGAAAATTCAGATCAAAATTCTACAGATCCTGAGGATCCTGTTGATGAAGTTGAAGCAACTAATGATGATGGTGGCCCTGGTGTCCTGAAAAAATCTAGAAAAAGGAAAAGGAACATAAATAAAAAAGACATGAGGAAAATTAAAAGAAATAGTGGTAAGCAATATACTACCAAGAAAGGTAAGATTGTAGCAGAAAAGGAATTTAGCAATGCACCTTGTATGTGTAAAATGAAGTGCAACAACAAAATTTCAAATGATCAAAGAAAAATTGTTTTTGAAAATTTCTATAAGATTGGGCAATTTAGCGCACAAAACGCTTACATTATTGGCTTGTGTAAGCAAAACACACCAAAAAACACCGAATACGGACAGGAAGCCGTGGAGCACGTAGTACTAGTATAAAATATTACATTCAGTTGCCATATGACAGTGTTAATGTATGTAAAAAGTATTTCTTGGATACATTTAAGATATCAGATGGGAGACTTTTTCGTACTCTAAAAAAAGTACGTGATGGTTTCGAACCTGGTAGTGACTTGAGAGGAAAACAGACACCAGCTAATAAAATTGATGAGAATCGTGTTCAACAAGTACGTGCTCATATTGAGTCATTCCCAGCTCATCAATAACACTATACGAGAGCACATAATCCTAATAAAAAATATTTACAAGAGAATCTAAATATAAAAATAATGTACAACTTGTATGTTGATTGTTGCACTGATAACAATGAAGAGCCAGTTTCAGAGTCATTTTATCGCAATGTGTTCAACCATGAATACAATTTAGATTTTCACCAGCCCAGTAAGGACACATGCGTAACATGTGATAAATATAAATTAATGATAGAAACAGTCACTAATCAGGCAGAAAAAATACACTAGAAATTAGTCCATTAATTGACCTTTATATATGACGAGATCCAGACGTCAACTGGTGGTGGTGTATACAAGGGATATTTGAAGAAAAAGGACGATGAAAAGAAAGAAAAAAGAAGCTAAGGAAAGAAAACTAATTGAAATAAAAATAATTATAAAACAAGAAGGCAAGTGCAAAGACAACAATAAAAAAAACAGATGACCCAGCCAGCTCAGATAGTGTTATATATTCTTCACTCGGGAAAAGTAGTGCAGATGTCCTTCCATCTCTTTCAGTTTCATTTCTACATTTTGAGCCAAAAGAGAAACATTTTTCTCCTTCAGCAGCTTTTCATACTTGAGCTTCTCGTTTGAATTCAGGTTAGCCAATCCAGTTCCATTTTGGATAGTTTCTTAGTAGTAGCCAAACACGGGGGTAATCCCGTGACGTCATAATTAGGTAATTGGTAAGTATTTTGAGATTGTAGAGCAGCGTGGATTACGCAGCGACTCTGGCGATGTATGTTGTAGATTGGTTGGTATTGTTATTAGGTCAAGGTTGTCTGAATGTGTTTTTTTAATGTTCAGCTTTAATGTTTCAAATATACCATGTACTGGATTGTAAAAATATGTATTGTTCCATTTAACTATCCATCAACTAGCTGTCTCATATAATCTTCGAACTCTGGGCGGAGAAAGTACGAGGTACTAGATACTTGTGCGTTCTGTATCGGTGACATAGTTACGTCTACTGCGTTTTGTTCTTGAGTGTTTTGTTCTTGAATATTATTATTTGAGATATTAGTAGTTGAAGATATTTTGGGATCTTGAATGGCTGAATTTCGTGTAGACATGTTTTCCTGACGGTAGCTAAGAGTCAAATGATCTGTAGTTTACTCTGTTAACACTTATATAGTGTTTACAGAAGTTCTAAATGTTTGCACAAAGACAAAGACGTTTCAATTTTCCGAGAGATGACTCTCACGGAACGACAACGGATGTGAGTGGTCGCATGTGTGCGCTTATAAATAACTAGGCCTACTCGTTCTCGCGGGGGACCGACATGTGATTAACTGTTATTGCTTTACTTTTTCTAGCGTCACTGATTACGCTTAGCGGTGTTACGGCTTTTTGTTAATGGATGATTTTATCTATGTAGGAGGTAAGAAACCTATTATTGTTTCTGCATTGTGATCAAGATTGTTGTTTGTCGTGCAAACTAGACACGCTTCATTCGTATTGCGTACTGCTTTGTGTCAAGCAATTTTATCCTGTCACATTTTGTAATTTCTGGAGTTTTAATTATATTTCCCTGTTGTATTTTAAGTTTAAGTGTTTCCAGTTTGTGATACACGTCGCCCCATTGTGATTTGTGGAATATTCTCTAAATATACAGGTAATTAATTTTTCTTGTCATATACATATATATATATAGTATCCTAATATATATTAGCTTTTACTATTTATTTATAAGAACCTCACTCCTTAATCATTACTTAAATTAGCTCAACTATTTGTATGAAAGATCCTACGACTATTTCGTATAATCATTTAAATACAACCTTTCTCATAATATAAAAACGAAACTAACATATCTTTCAAATATAATCCTAATTATATGAAAACTTTACAAGGCTATAAACAAATATTTCGGTAAATTTGCACTTACAAAACACTTATCTTTACTCAAAAATTTTTTGCTGTATGAATACAACAATATACGTTACAACCATTTTTACCGCCTATCTTATAATACTTTTCTACAGAATAAAACGGCTTTCGATTAGAAATATTTTAGGTATTGGCAGTGAGTTTTTAGTCTTCTCACGTGATATAAAAATTTGAGGCCAATAAAATAGATGAAGTTCTGGACCATCTCACTAGAGTTTACTAGTGTATTTTGTTGAATATTAATTAAAACTAATGCAGTACATAGCAAACAGCTGATTGATTTATCACTTAACAGATTGCACTACGTTTCTTTTTTGCTTCAAATTTTTACATTACTTGGGAAGTCTATTCTGTGTATAGTCAATGGTTTTATGTTTTTAAGAAAATTGGTATTCCAATATCGCACAATTTATTTACGATCGCTAAATCACTATACGTATTTAATGTCTCACATTTTGTAACAGATGTTATGTATACCGCAAATAATCTTTCTTGTGATATATACAAACAAAAAACTATATCATTTACCTCAAATCATTATATTATAATAAAAAATAAATGATTTAGGATAAAAAAAAATCTTATAATATACATTGTCCTTGTCAAAATAAATGTATGTTTATTCAAGTTCGCCTCATATTTTGTTGTAGTCCTAATGATAATATTAATAATTACCATAACTAAACATTTTTAAGATTGAAAAATGGTTACCGATTTTCTTAACTAACAATGTATAAACGTATAAATTGTTCTTCACAAAACGAGATATCTAAATATGACTCTAATACATTAATTATTAACTTGTTTGGGTTAAAAAAGGTAAAATGTGATTGCCTAAAATTATACTTTGTTTTTTATTGAGGATTGCTTTATTGACATACGTAAAAATTTCTTCACATTCTAATAATCATAATAGAAAACTATATATTTTACTTAACAATTTTTATATTAAATTATTCTTTGTTCTTTTATCTCAAATTGCTTTCTCACGTACATGAATTGACTCACTTTTTGTTACGCTCTTAAATTATAATATTAATCAAGGTACTTCTCATAGTCAGTTGCTGACTTTATTAAAATACAGCTCGATTCAATTGGTTGTTTTTTATACTATTTTCTTAACATATGATTTGTTCTTCTCAAAATAAACATATAAAATGGTTCTAATACTTAATTGCTTAGTGTGTTTTTTTTTCTTCTAGAGTTAACTAACGCAGCTTTACTTGAAACACGGAGTATTCCTGATTTACTACAGGTAATTATATGAAAAATCTTAGTTTACGCATAGTTCAGATGGTTTCTATCTCTTTGTAATCTTTCCTTAAAAAATACATGTACAACTAAATATATTTTAGTTAATAGTATTTGTAAAATGCTACGATTGTTATGTGTTTATTTTACTTAGCTCGGTTAATAATTTAATTGACTTCATATCTCGTTCTTGAGACCGAACTAATATTGTTTCTTGTATTATTGAACATTCTTAAGCTAAAAAATATATTTTAAATTGTAATTTGCATCTCCATAAGCATTATAAAATCACGTATCTTGTTTTGGATTATTAAAACGGCTATTCCGCTATCTTTCAAATAATATTAATATCAAAATAAATATTAATAATTAATGGCTGCTCTTGCTAGTCCCCCACTACACCTCATATCCTTTGATTGGGTGGGTAGACCACGCCTCCAGCAAGCCCCGTCCCCACTACGCTACCTGTCCTGTGATTGGCTGAGTAGACCACGCCTCCACTTAGTCCAACCCCCACCAGAGCGCACAAAACTAGTTGAATCTCTTTCAAACTTCACTGTACATCTTGTGTACTCGCACGGTACACATCATGTTCCGTCTCCTTTCAAACCCTTGTCTATCTAGGGTTTGAATGAATCTTTGTCTATCCTTCCTTAACCATTTGCGTTTCCTGAACATGCGACAGTGGTCAAACCAGGTTGCATTTCTATCCATCCTTTACATACAGCAGTGGTAAAACCAAGCTGTATTTAAATCCTTCCTTAACTTGCAGCAGTGGTCAAACCAGGCTGCATTTCTATCCTTCCTTAACATACAGCAGTGGTAAAACCAAGCTGTATTTAAATCCTTCCTTAACTTGCAAATTGGAAAAGCCATTTGCGTTTCCTGAACATGCGACAGTGGTAAAACCAAGTCGCATTTCTATCCTTCCTTAACATACAGCAGTGGTAAAACCAAGCTGTATTTAAATCCTTCCTTAACTTGCAGCAGTGGTCAAACCAGGCTGCATTTCTATCCTTCCTTAACATACAGCAGTGGTAAAACCAAGCTGTATTTAAATCCTTCCTTAACTTGCAAATTGGAAAAACCATTTGCGTTTCCTGAACATGTGACAGTGGTAAAACCAAGTCGCATTTCTATCCTTCCTTAACATACAGCAGTGGTAAAACCAAGCTGTATTTAAATACTTCCTTAACTTGCAAATTAGAAAAACCATTTGCGTTTCCTGAACATGCGACAGTGGTAAAACCAAGTCGCATTTCTATCCTTCCTTAACAGCAGTGGTAAAACCAAGCTGTATTTAAATCCTTCTTAAACGTGCAAACTGGAAAAACCATTTGCATTTCCTTAACACGCAGCAGTGGTAAACCCAAGCTGCTCCTTTCAAGCCCTTGCCTATGTTATATGTCTAAAAGTTCTTCATGCATGTACTGTTTAGTCTTTCTTGCTAGATAATTTGCTTTAGTAGTTGTGACTTGGTGTTAGTGGTTTGAATCTTTGCATGTTTTTTTAAATAACTAATGACCTTGACCTACTTGTATTATTGGTTATTTGAAACTTTATCTTTAAAATAGTTTCTCTGCCCACATGCAACTCCTCCTTTTAGATGTACTTATTCCCCCACCTCTTTACCACACTCATATCTTCCCCCACTCTGTCTATCTATATCCCCCACCACTTAGGGTGGGTATAAATGAGAGAGCATATTGGTTAACAACATAATTCTGTTGCCAGCCTGCAGAAAAGCCATGGACCCCTGCTTAAGAAAGACTACCAAGCCAATGAAGCCAGTGGCAGGCATCAAAAGATCTAAACTTCAGGAGGCGTTGACTGGAGGTATTAAGAAGACGAAATCATCAACTCCTTTTGAAACCCTTGTCAACAAGACTCTGTCGCAGCCGGGATCCTCTTCTTCTGCTTTATCTGACGATGCAAAGAAAACAACTACAATATCTACTCAATCTTCCCAAGAGCCTGGATCTTCCCTTGCCACCAAGACTCTGTCGCAGCCGGGATCCTCTTCTTCTGCTTTGTCTGACGATGCAAAGAAAACAACTACAATATCAACTCAATCTTCCCAAGAGCCTGGATCATCCCTTGCCGCCAAGACTCTTTCGCAGCCAGGATCTTCTTCTGCTTTGTTTGAAGATAGATTGAAGAAATCTTCTTCTGGTAACACTTCGTCGAAGAAACGGTCTGATTCATCGTCTTCCTCTTCTTCTTCTTCGTCATCATCTTCCTCGTCTTCTTCATCGTCCTCGTCCTCTTCTTCTACGTCATCGTCCAAAAATCAAACAATTAAGTCCCCTCTATCCATGCTTCTCTCTCCCATAATTCTCTCCTTGCTATCTCCTATTAAATCTCCAGAAAAGCCATCCACTCCCAAACGTAAGCCATCTCCAAAACCTCAAACACATAGCCTAACTCTTCCTAATTTAAATTCCTCCTCGAACCAAATGCCTGACATAGATTCTCCTGAAATTACCATTCCAAAACCCCCACCCAAATCCCTCCCTGCTGCACCCACCGTTGTTAGAAAACTCTTTACTAAAACTGAATCCTCAAAAGAATCCCTTCCCTCCCATTCAAACCCTTCTGAAAAATTGGTAAAACTCATGGCCAAAAGACGAGCTGCATTTAAGCCCAAGCCACAATGTTCTTATATTTTCCAAAAAGGGGTGAAAAAAGGTGAGCGTTGTGAAAAGTCCTGCTTTTCCGATGCTAATGTGTGCAGCCTCCACACTGAGGGGAAAAGCAGGATGGTACCCACTCAACCTAAAATTATTAGCAGCAAACCTGTCGCTACCAATCCTCAGTCATTTGAAAGACCATCAATAATCGTCAAAAGCCAGGCTCAGGGAAAATCTTGTACATCTGATCCAACACCGAGCACCTCACGTGTTGTTGTGATAGACAAGATTTTGCGTAGCCAACCACGAACGTCAGGCTTTGCTCGACCCTGTCGTCCACCACAAATTCAAGCGAAAAAAACCAGAATTGATAGGCTACCCAAAAACCGTAAATTCGAAATTCTACTGATGACACCAATCGGTGAAGTCATTTTAAGAGAAGGAAATGACAGGTTCCGACTTAAATTACCCAGAGGCATGACCATCCCGAATACAACCCACCGATACTATATAATTCGTGATCGGTCTTCGGGATGGGCATCTGTAACATTATAAATTGGTTTAGTTTCAAATTGATCTTAATTATCCTCTAAATTCTCCTTTAGTATGCAAAAATTGGGAACGCATTTGTTATAGCCTAACAAATGCGTTCCCAATTTTTGCATTTAAAGAGTGACCTTGAGATTTTGGAAATAAATTATTTTAATCAGAGATTTCCATCTAATTTACTCATAAAACATTAGAATCAAATTTGTTATATCCTAACAATGTGTTCCCAAAGTTTCGTGTATAATATTTTGACAAAGTTATTTTAGAAAACATATTGATTGTTCAGGTTGTCCAATATTACATCAACATTTTTCTATATTGTAAAATTAACTATTCTAAGGACATTTAAAAGATATATTATGTTTATCTCGTGTTTTGCAAAGATCTTCATTGCCATTCTGTATAAATTAAGTGTAACACTTTATGTTGTAACTCAATATATTTTCATAATCCTCAAAGGCATCTTGGTAAACAAACACAAAATTTATTTGCATTAACTTTTTAAGGTTAATTCCTTTACATTTAATCTTCGTTAACAGGTTTACTTGAATAGTAGTTGTACATTTTATACTTAAGTAGTGTTGAACTTTACAAGACATAGAAAACAAATATATAAATGGTTAGCAACCATTACACTTTGTCACTGTGGGGGAAAGGTAGTTGAAAATAAGAAAAATAATAAAGGAAATAAATCGAAGGACCAGCCTAAATTAGGCAAAGGAGTGAAACAATTCAAAATTGATAATGTTGGGATTTGTCAGCTAAATATTTTACATAAATAATTATTAAAAAAGTAACAAGACTAGTTTTCTGTTTAATATACAATATTGTTCAATTTCTGAAAAATAATTTGTCAAAAAAAACTTAATATTGATGAAACTCACCAAGAATGTCAATCATTATATTCAAGTTCATTGGTGGAACCGTCTTGATGGATTCATAGTTTCTTGAGGTGTTTAAGTTCAAGTTCATTCATGTCTTGATGATTGAAATATCACTTTTAAAAAATGTCTTTCTTTCTTGTAGAATTTAACAATGATGTTTACAATAAGGATTGTATAATGTAGTTGAAATTAAAATGATTAATATTTGCCTAAATCCCATGAAAATTGTATGTGAGTTATAAAATAAAATTGAGAATAAAAATGATATGTAGTGATTGTACTGAAGATAGAAATGCAATGTTTTTTTATAATAATCAAGAATATGATGTAAATAAACATTAAATTAAATAACTTTCAGCTGTCAAGAAATTGGGATGGGAAAGAAAAATAGGAAATTGTATTCAGAACAAAGAAGAAATAAAATTATAATATATTGAAATCAATTTTGAATGAAAATATGGAAAAGTGATGAACTAGTACGCAACAACGCCGGCCACCGTTGAACGTCTGGTTCAACCAAAGTTGGTGTCACTCATTGGCATTGGATAGACTTGGGACACTGGGCGAATGTATTCTCTATCAGTGGTCTTGACTTTTACCACACGGACAATGTTGTCTTTCTCAGGAAGTAATTCACTGATACGGCCGGTTGGCCAATGGCATGGTAGGGTTGAGGTTTTCAGGAGAACTAGATCACCAATCTTGATGTTTTCAGTCGATTTTGTCCACTTGTGACGTTGCTGGAGATTATGCAAATATTCTAGGCTCCATCGTTTCCATAGATGTTGTGAAAATTGTTGCACTTGTTGCCAACGTGAAAGTCGATTGGGTGACACATCGAGTAGACGTGGTTCAGGGATGGAAACTAATGGTGCACCTGTCAAGAAATGTCCTGGAGTAAGTACATCTAGTTCTTGAGGATCGGTCGAGAGAGGTGTAAGAGGTCTTGAGTTAAGAATTGCCTCAATCTGCGTTAATAATGTCATCATTTCAGGAAGTGTGAGGATGGTTTTATCAATAACTCTAACTAGGTGTCGTTTAACGCTTTGAACTGTTCTTTCCCATAGGCCACCGAAATTAGGGGCACAAGGAGGATTGAAATGAAACCTGATGTCTGATGGAGCAAAGTGGCTTTGTAATTTATCACGTGCATCTGAAGAAGCGATGGTGTGCTGTGTGATACGGTTTAATTCATTAGCAGCACCCTTGAAATTGGTGCCACAGTCACAGTAGATGTGAGAACAAATTCCTCGACGACTAATAAATCTAGTGAGCGCTGCGATGAATGCTTCTGTTGTCAAGTCAGTTATAAGTTCTAGATGCACTGCTTTAGTAGTCATACAAATGAACAAACAGACATAGGTTTTGGTAATTTTAAGAAATCTCATGTTAGCTATTTTGGTATCAAATGGTCCCATGAAATCAGTTCCAGTATGCAAGAATGGCTTAGATGGGGTGACTCTGGGTTTCGGTAAAGACGCCATTAATGGAATGGTGTTTGTTGGTTTGTGTCGGAAACATGTGACACAGTTGTGGATCCGTTTTCGAATGATGTTTCGTGCGTTTAAGATCCATACACAACGAGATAAGATGGATTGGATGAATAAAGGACCGGCATGCAAGTAGGTAATGTGCCAGTAGTCTATGTAAATATTTGTGATGTGGTGAGATTTAGGTAATAATATCGGATGTTTTGACGGGTATGGAAGTTCAGAATTCTGAAGACGCCCTCCGACACGAATAATGTCATTGTCATCCATGAACGGATGGAGTGGTTTCAGTTTGTTAGGACAGTGTGGTTAGCTCGAAGTTCCCGTTTTTCAGTGGCGAAGACTTCTGATTGGACTCTGTGAAAGATCTTCAATGTAGATATTGTGCGCAATTCGTCAGTTGTGATGAAACCTATAACACGATTCTGTTTATTCAAACAGTTGTGTTTGAATCGTAAAACAATTGCAATTATACGTACTAGTTTTGTCCACGATGAATAAAATTTGAGTGGTTGCCATTCAGTGATACCTGTAGTTACAAACACAGGCAATGGTGTTGGTTTTAATTCGGACGAAACTTCAGAATTAAAGTCAGTTTTTGGATGCTCTTGCTTTGGCCAATCTGTTGATGGACGTGAAAGCCATGATGGCCCTGACCACCACATATGATTTTCTACCAGCTGTTTGACTCGTAAACCACGAGAACCACAGTCAGCAGGATTGTCATTAGTGTTAACGTGATGCCACACTTCAGTGGAGTGCGTTTCTTGAATCGCGGCAACTCGATTGGCGACAAAAGTTTTAAGTTGGTAAGCTGGGGTTTTGATCCAGGTTAAGACAATTGTGGATTTAGACCACAAGAAGATGTTGTTTGTATTAAACATGTTGGGAAACAATGATGTGCAATGTGATGTCAACTTTGACAGCAAATGAGCTGCACATAACTCTAAACGAGGTATTGTGGTGCGACGTAATGGAGCGACACGACCTTTTGCCATAACAAAGTTTATGGTGACTGAATCATCAAGATGAACACATCTGAAATAAATTAAACAAGCAAATCCTGTTTCTGAGGCGTCCGCAAAACCATGAAGCTCAATGCTTTTTAAAGAATGCAGATTTAAAGAACGTGGTATGGTGATGTCTGATAAATATTGAGTATCATCGGAGAATCGTTTCCACTGATCGATAATAGAATCAGGTAAAATGCTGTCCCAACTGATTCCAAGAGTCCAGATTTGTTGCATAATACACTTGGCTATCATGATGCATGGAGTTAAGAATCCACACGGGTCATAGATTTTAGCGATTGCGCTAAGAACATGTCATTTTGTAAGATTTGCGTTAGAATCTAGATTAGTGGTAACGTAAGTGAAAACGTCCAACGTAGGTGACCATTGGAGACCTAATACAGTAAATTGAGGACAGGAGGATTCAGACACAAATTTTGGAGTTTCGCGATGTGACTCAGGAAGATCTTGAAGCAACTGTTCTGAGTTTGACATCCACTTGCGAAGTTCGAATTGACCACATTGCAATAACTGAGTAAGTTGAGTCTTAAGTTGTATGGCCTCTTCCAAAGTGTCTGAGCCAGTAATAATATCATCCATATATGTATGGTGTTTTATTGCATAGGCTGCTTGAGGGTACTTGTGACCTTCATCAGTAGCTAGCTGGTGCAAGGTTCTAATAGCTAGATATGGAGAACAATTCATACCATATGTAACAGTGTTAAGTTGATATGTTTGCATAGGCTTATTTGGTGAATCGCGCCATAGAATCAGCTGATAGTTACGATCCGAAGGATGAATCACAATTTGGCGATACATTTGTTTGATGTCTGAGCACATGACAATACGATGTCTTCTGAACTGAGTCAGAATGTCAGCTATGTTAGGTTGCAATGCTGGACCAGTCAGTAACAAGTCATTGAGTGAATGGCCAGAATCAGTTTTGCAACTTGCATCAAATACAGTTTAGTTGTTGCATCAAATACGAAGCTTAGTTGTTGAACTAGATTCTTTTAACACCCCGTGATGAGGTAAATAATAATGTTGCGGAGTTAATGACGACACATCTATGTGAGACATATGATCAAGAGATAAGTATTCATGCATAAAATCTTTATACAGCATAGAAAAACGTTCGTTACGCGAAAACTTACGTTCCATTGCAATTAAACGTTGCTTAGCTGCATCAATGGACGAACCTAACATTTTGGATGAGCCTTTAAATGGTAACCGTACAATGTATCTACCGAGTTCGTCTCTGGTATGAGTGTCTGCGAATAACTTTTCACAATGAATATCTTCTTGGGATTGTTTTTTGTGGTTTGGGATTTCTTCTAAAAGCCAAAATCTTTGAATGGAATCGTGTATGTCATTTAAACTTGTTGTATGCAAACAAATATTTAAAGTACTCGATTGAGATGTGCATGATTGCAATGTATCAGGTGTACATGGAGT